AATTTCAATAATTTTATTGTTTATTAGAAATTTTAAAAATTATTTTGAGCCATTACACTCTTTTAATTTCAAACACTTACTGAAAAACTACATCTTTTACTTATCTTTTTCTACTGGCTAAAAATAAAAGCAAAAACTCTGTCAAATGGGCCCATAATCAGCGTGTGTTTGCAATCTCTCAATGGGGCAGCGGTCTTCCCAAGTTTATTCTACTCATATTGTTATTATTCCGATATTAAGAGCCCCAAAAATGCACTCGATTGTCACTCTATGTCTTTGTAATGTGGTTTATAAAATTATCACTGAAACTTTGGCTAATAGGTTAGAAATTCATTTATCGGATATAATTTTGGATGAATAGAGGGCATTTTTCTTGGGATTAATTGCTGATAATATTATTGTTGCATTTGAGACTATGCATGCTATTCCTAATTTCCTAGGACACTTCACAAATTACTAAGTAGCTGAAACACGTTTTAATTCTAGTGATTATTTAATCGATTCTGATGCGATTTTAGTAAGCAAGAAAATTGAGTGTCTTAAACATGGTTGGAGAGAGAGAGCTCCGGGATTATGAAGAAAATGTTTGGTGAGAAAAAAGCTTGAGGAAAAAAAAATGGTGGCTTTAGTTCGATGAGGTGAGGTGGAGCATGGTGGGTGGCCGTGGGGTTTGCACTAAGGCGCGGGGCAGCACAGCTGGCCCGCGAAGGTCGTTGCCTGAGTGTGTGACAAATGGTTCTCAAGATTTTATTTTGTTTTAATTTCGATGTTATTAATAACTAGGCATTAAAATTTGTTAGAATATGTGTAAATTAAGAATCAAAATTAGAAACAGTTAATTTTAGTACTATTAGTGGAAGTCATCTTTTGTTTTTTTTTTTTTGGTTTTTTTTTTTGTATTATTTTAATCCCTAAACTTCATATGTTTCCAATTTTAGTTCTTAATTTTCACATATTTCGTCAAATGTTTACACTAAGTTTAACAAAATGATTGAAATTAAAACAAAATAAAACCTCAGGAACCAAATTTGAGACATTTAAAAAGTCAAAAAATAAAGTGTGATCGAGTGTAAACCTTAAGAACCATTTATGACATTAACTCTTACTTTAAAGATAGGTTTTTTGCTGGGGCTAAAAAAACAACAGAAAAACATAACTTCATACGGTCAATTGGTCCAACGCTACATCTGCAGTTATTTCATAAAGCTTTTTGAACATGGACATTTTCTCCAGCACAGGAGAAACAAACGATGGAAGTTCACCTAACAGCTGTTTCGAATCGACATTTCTTGTCTTGTTACAAACAGATTGAACAATTCAAAAGAGGAAGAAGATACCAAAATGCTTGAAAATTTCAAAATGGAGAATTCATGTAAGGTAAAGCAGTGGCTGAGAAATAATAATTAAATGCAAAGAACAAGACATCATTTTAGATTAGGAGAAATAGAAGAGGCAAAAATTGTTTCTTTCCGCATTTTAGACATAATTAAACAGCGTAAGAAATCACATTGTCCCACCTCCTTGCTGGAACAATATATAAGATAAATATGTAGTGATTTCATGCGTGGCATGCCTCTCCAGATAACAATAGCAAGGTTGCGGAGGAAGATTGATTAAAATTGATACGAAATTACTGAGAAACGAATATTTTGCGTCATCTGAATGGAAACCGGTTGTGCTGAGGATGTAAAGTTGGCTGAAATCGACAAAAAATTGATTGGTGTTTTTTTTTTTTCAATAAATGATAGGCTTTTTTTCCCATGGGAAATAGGCTTCTCACGGGTTTTTTTTTTTTTTTTGCTGATGGCGTCGTGTTCATCTTGAGGTGATTTGAACTTTGAAGAGAAAAAATGACACAAGTAGTTTGCTATTCCTTTCCACGATCTCACTTCTCCTACTTTTATGGTTTTTAGCACAATTGCCTTTTAAATTTGTCGTAGTTTAACAACTTACCTCTTAAATTTTTAATTTTAAAAATTAACGTCTAAACATGTTTAACTGTTGGATAAGACTGTTACAAAACTACATTTTTATAAAACAGCTTATGTAAAAGTGTGAACTTGCTTAAGTGTGAAAATGTTTTAAGAAAAAGTTCTTTAATTTTAGAAATTCTATTGCACGTAAATATGAATTTACACCTATTTGTTTTTTTTTTTCAGAATCTTGGCATATATTTCTCTTTTATTTTGATTAATTTCTCTCATTCTCTCTAAAAAATATTATCATTCTGCTCTTGTTAAAACCTTAAAAAAATGAACAGTTCACACTCAATATAGCTAGTGGCTAGTGCTCTAAAAATTTGTTAGGATGTGTTTGTTTCTGAAAAGTTTTAGAAGTTGTTTAACAATTTCAATATCAATAACTAAAATCGTTGAGAAAATTAATGTTTACAAATCATCTACCAAGCAAAAATTGTTCCAAGTATAAAATGACACAATGCTCCTAATTTAGAGATTATGAAAATCCTTAATGTTATTTGATAAGAGAGAGGGAAAGTTTAATAATAGTTAATTATTAATTACTACGATGTCTATTTGTACAATTTGTCAATAATTTTTTTAAAGGGTGAAATTGTAACAGTCATCAATCCCTTGAGGCACAAGGCCAAGAAGGGTAAGTTGTGCAGTTCCACATCACTAGGGATGAAGATCCTGGTTTATAAGGAATGACACCACCTCCTAATAGTATGAAGCCTTTTGGGGTGAAGCCCAAAAGTAAAAACCGTGTAGGTTCAGGCCCAAAACAGACAATATCATATCAGGTGAGGGTCTGAGTCGTTACATATGGTATCAGAGCCTCTACCCAGTTGAAAATATGGCCAACGAGGACGTTGGGCCCCCCATAAGGAGGGTTGATTGTAACAGCCATCAATCCCTTGAGGCACAACGCCAAGAAAGGGTAAGTTGTGCAGTCTCATATCGCCTGTGAATGAAGATCCTAATTTATAAGGAATGACACCACCTCCTAATGGTATGAGGCCTTTTGGGGTGAAACCCAAAAGTAAAAATCGTCAAAAATAGTAGAAAATAAGCCAATATGAAAAGCTTAAGAAATTATATAGGCCTATTTTTAGTTATAGAAATTAATAGGCCATAACTTGTCAAGTTATGGTTCATAACCAGATAAGTTATAGACAAATTTGTCAAGTTATGGTTCATAGCCAGACAAGTTATGGACAAAAACCGTGAATTATGGACAATAACTTGTCAAGTTATGGTTCATAACCAGACAAGTTATGGACAAAAATAATAATTTGGCCTATTTATTAACTTATGTAAACTATTGGCCTATTAATTTTAATTCATCTCAAGTCTTGGCCTATTTCTCTCTTTCTCCCAAAGTAAAAACCGTGCGGGCTCAGGCCCAAAGCGGACAATATCATATCAGGTGGGGTCCGGATCGTTACATAACTAATCTTCTAAAGATTAAATCCATTTAATGGAATGATACAATTTGATGTATTAAAAGGGAGAATACATCCCTACTTTTCCTCTCCTTCCTTTCATCTGTCCAACAAAATAATTGATTAAGTTTGTTTTCTCTCCATCTCTCCCTCCAACAAACATACTGAAAATGTTTATTACCCACACATATTAAAAACGAAAAAAAAATGAAAAAGAGAAGCTAAGAGATGAGCAAAACAAGCCACGAATTCATTCAAATATTACTGCACGTTTATCCAATCTAAAATGAAAAGAAAAAATGAGAATTTACTTTTGAGAGTACACGAGTGTAGACATTTATCCCTTAATCTTGATAAATACCCTTTTATTAATGTAATTATTTAACTAAAAAAGTTATGAATCAAAATTAAATGGTAAAAATCATGATCCATTACTTTTAAAATGTATTTGTCAAGATTACCAAAATGAAAAGCAAAACACATCATTGGGCTCAGACGTCAACTATAAGCAAATGAATGGATCCTTCTACTCTACTAGCCCCAAAATAATGCAAGCAAGATAAGTACCTGAACTTGTTTTAATCAATCATTTTTTATCAATTCAGTTTGATATTTATTTGACATCAAGTTTATCCATGAAATATTGCATCTTTTTGTTTAACCAGAACAATTTTGTGTTCAATAAATAAATAAATAAAAAGATGAAAACAAAGTTGCAATTGCAAATTCATAAACATAAACTTTCTATTAATTTTAATAAAGGAAAATGACATACTTTATATAATCAAACAAAGAGTGTCATATGATTAACAATACAAACACAAAGTTAAAGTATACACGTTAGAGACGTCAGACATACTTTGATCATACAGCAATATGGATACAGATATTGAAAAGAAGGTTTGCTCTCACAAACACAAGAGGAACGTTTCTTTCTTTATTTTCTTTTAACAAAAGGAATATATTTGAAACAAAGCCAAAACCTAAATCCCTTAGAACGCTGACAAGTTGTCCACATCCTCATATAGAGATGCCAAGTTATCCTTACTTGTAAAGCCGGTAATATGAGTCACGAGACGACAACACGATTTGAAAATGACACAAATTTAATGGGTTGAGACTGAGAAAAAAGAGATTCGAGACAGAATTGAGTCAACCCGAAATTGACACGACAAACACGGATCAATTTCGGGTTGGACCTGTCACACCTGAGCACGACACGAAACTCATAAAAATTAAAAAATATATATTTTTCATTAGATATTTTAGATTTTATTATGAACTTGTGATATCATGATAGTTATGCTCAAAATCTTATACTATTATATGCTTAATTTTGATGGATGTTATTGTATTTTAGTGCATTATGAATTTTAAGTTTTTTTTAATATGTAAAAAACTAAAGAAAAATATATAATTTTCGTGTCAATTTCAGGTTTACGGGTCATTTTCGTGTCGTGTCTTGTAAACTTGTAAAGTGGTCGTGTCATGTTCGTGTTGTGTTTTTAAAATATTTCGCGTCACAGGTCGTGTTTGGGTTGACTGTAAATTTAGGAAGAAACGATTAAAACACGACACGTGACACGAATTACCACCCTTACGTACTTGGATTCCTAGCAGAGCAATTGGCACGTATCTCACCTTGGCTGCCTGTCAAGACGCTCAACTGGCCTATTTTGATCATGGCGATGATGAATTTTTCAAAGAAGAGTGATTGGTTATTGGCGAAGTTGATGACAATGTGCTTGGTCTGACTGTAGCTATACAAATCCTGGTCAGAAGTGAAGAGTCCTTGGCGGTTCATGAGGTTAACATAGTACTTATTGTCAAAGGCATTAGGGCTTCGGATATCGAGCATAGTAGTGGCAATCGTGTAGTTCGTGAGGCAAATCGCCTTTAGGTTTTTGGCAAAAGTCTTGTCCATGATGGGGTCTTGGGTGGGATAGAGGCGGTTGCCAAAGGAAGAGCAACTGCTGAGGCCAATGGTGTGGCCGCCTGAAAGGGCGACTACGTCGGTGGCATCTAGGTTTTTTGTTGCAAGAGAGGCGAGGATAGTGCCAGTGTTGCTTATTTGTGAAGAGAGGTTGGCTATAGTTACTTTTCTTGTCGCAAATGTCAACCCGTCTCTTCTTCCCAATGGTACTGTATAGTCAGGACCACCTAACTGCATTATAATTATATTAT